AATGTAGTATGGGGCTGTGCGGAAATTTTACCTTCCTTTTTAGCCCGTTATTGCCGTCAGTTTCAGATAACACGTCAGTAGTCTATTTACTTTTCGAAAAAGATTCCCGCTCCACGTAGGTGCACGCTCACTTCCAACTCAGCTTTACCATAACAACACTTCGTTTGCACACGTGACCAAAACAAGCCAATGAGCAACCTCGTTCCGGGATCCTTTACAATCGTTGTTTGGCAGCCATAGTGACAGATAAACAAGTAGAAATCTTGGTTCGTTCATTTATCTCGCTCATTAATCGGCATAGGGTAAAATATGGACTGGACCATTTTTACCATACTGTATACACGAAGGGAAACGTGAAGCAACTGATGGTACACATGTCGACTCAAAAGGCACAGGCATAACTCAACAGTAAAGGATCTAAACGCGATATTTTCAATAGAAATCAAAGTCCAGTGTTCACGTGGCAGTTTCGCTTTCGCAGGACGACAAAAATGAAGAACATCAAAAAAGTCAGTCGAAAAACCGATGAAGATAATTTGTACGATCGAGTAAAAGCTCCATTTACAAGTAGTGTTTACTCTTACATCCACCTCTCACCCCTCACTGCCTAGCAATAGTCCTTCTCTCACCCCTCCCTGAGTAATAACACTCTGCCTCCCACCCCTCCCTCAGTACTAGTAGACTGCATCCCACCCCTCCCTGAGTACTAATGGTATGCTTCCCCCCTATAAAATGGTCCAAAAAATGGTCCAAAAAAATAGTCCAAAAAATGGTCCAGTCCATATTTTACCCTATGCCCTCTTTAATCGCGTGTACACGACGACGTAAACTATGGCTTATGAAATCAGAAAAAAAATACGAAGGTCTTCATGACGGTCGATGGTATATATGCACCATCTTAAGTCAAAAAGGCGACAGGTACAAGGTTACCTTCGATGGTTGGAGCCGACAGTTTGACACAGTTCTCAGCGCCGACTGTCTTCGCCCCTGTACAATGATTTACGTTCGCCCCAGAAAGCGTTGGAGACCCAGCGTGAATTTAAACAAGTTGCTGCCAGGCGACGAAGTTTTCATCAGCATCGAGGGCATCAGAAAACCGGCCGCAGTCAGAGTGGTGGATCCTTTTCTAGAACTCGTTACAGTGGAGTGCGGAAACAAAGAAATCTTTGCTTCTTTCCGCGGTGTACTACCACCGCCAGAACCCACTCCTGATACTGTCAAGAGGAGAAGACCATTTTCAGCTAGATTAAGGTTACTGTCAATAAAATGAGGTGCATTGCGGAACAATCGTCTTACGCGTGCTACTAGAAAGCATGGAAAAGTACATGTAATTTGTCTTCTTAGGCCCGGTTTAGAGGCCGTACTTCAGCCGCGCCGAATCGAATTCAACGATAGGCCGACCTAAGTTAGTTAATCCTAAGTTAGTTAATCCTGGCTGAATTGATTCAAACGCCGAACTTTACTAGACCGAAATTAATTAATCGAAGAAAATTAATATTCAGTCATGATTTGGCATACAATTGTAGACATGGCGGAAGCCATGGATTTCCGGCAGCAATCTGCAAGCAAGAGCCTTTTTCTGCTCGAAATGCTGGAAGAAGAAGAAGAAGAAGAATGCAAACCATCTTAAAGGCGACGATTTTACGAGCGACCCATCCTTGGTAATCTTCGTCTTCTTCAAAAATTTAACATTTATTGCAAATTGGGATTTTACATTTCAAGCAAGTATATTTGGTCGTTCCGAAACACGAACAACGCATGTCACCATCGTCTAAACTGGGCCCAACTTTGTTGTGTGTTGCAACTCAAGACGCGACATAAACAAAATCCCAGACGAAAGAACGTGGAAAACGTCAACGCACTGTTGAAGGCCTCTTCGGTTATGAAACCTTTCGTTCTTTGATAAAGGTTTCCTTAAAACATTCTTACAGCCGTATCTCGCGTTTGTATTTTTTTTTCGGCAAATTAAACTTAGATTCTCTCTCTAATTAAAGAGGGAAAAAACGAAATTTTGAACATTTTGATAGGATTTTGTCGACATCGTAGGATTAAGGTTTAATTTTATATGTCTGGGAGGATTAGGAGCAAAGTTTTACAGTTTTATTGAAGACTTGAAATCCGGGAACATAATGATAACGAACCATGTGATGTACAAGGACCCATCAGGTCTCATCAACAGCTTTATCCGCAATTCATGGAAATATGAAGTATAAAATGCCTTTGGAATAAGTTTAGCTGTGTTTGATTAATCAAGCATGGCTTTTAATAAAATTTATCAACCGTTGTTTCATCGATATTTCGTGTGATGATTCGAAAAAAAAAACGAAACGAAAACGGCTTTGACACGTGTCATAATTAATTTAGTTTCTTTCTTGTACAATTTTAGCGTAATTCTTTGGAAAAATCTTGAACCGTAGCAAAGATACAAGAAAGGAAGAATTTGTCGCGCAAAATTTTGTTAAGTCGGACCTCAATCGAGCGAGAGCGAAATTCTCTCCTCCACCCACTCTGCGGGAAGGTGTACTTAACCGCTTTCATTTATTATTCTATCCATTCGACATTAGCATAAATTCACTCACGTTTATCCAAGAAATACTTCGATATGACTGACTTCGCTACCGCCTGTCTATTTCGTAATGGATAATGAATGACGCGAGAAGCCTAGAACTGTGTGGTTTAAAAAACAAAACAAAACAAAATGAGCCAGACTTGTTTTGAGCGACCAGTAGATTTACAGCAAAATACTTAAATTGTTCGCTCTCGATTTCTAAGCGTGATAGTTTATCCGGGCCTCACCCTCATCAATTTTCGGGCGATAGAACTTCGGACATAAAATCAGATTGAACAGTGGTTTCAAACGGAGGCCCATGTTTCATTGAATAATGGTACAGACAGGTCACGCCACAACGTTGCATTCTGTGTGCGCCTTTGCATTTCGTTCAAGATTTTTCTAAACATCGATCGAAACTGAAACGATATGTCAGAACTGAATGACTGGGAAGCTCAAACTGAAATCAAAGTACCCTGTGGAGGCCAGTTTTTTCTTCATTATTTTCAGGCTTTTAATCTTGTTCAGTCAAGAAATATATGTTATTTGCCGGATGGGAGGTCCGTATGGTGAAAAACTGTGACCGAGGTCTGGAAAATACTGCCTGAGGCCGTAGGCCGAGGCCAGCATTTTCCAGACCGAGGTCCTGGTTTTTCACCATACGGACCGACCCTTAGCAGGTAAATAAAATATATATATTTTTTTTTTGAAACTTGACGAAATTCTTTCCGAAAGAACCCGATTGATTTGGGGCTGTAAATACGGCAAGATCTTCCATAAACTGAACAGTTTTTTGAGTGAGAAAATGGTAGTTAAAATAGAGGTGATGCAAATTAAAGAGAGATGCCACACCGAAACATTTTCATTTGCGTAACGATAAAGGTGATTTAAAACGCTTCTTAACAAACTTTGAAACATTATTTTTACAAGTATCTGTCACAATCTGACACCTGTCAATTAGAGAGCGCGTAAGTAAAAAAAAAGTGCAAGAAGATTTGAAAAACAACAGAACCAGTTTGGCAAGGACTGTCACGACAATGTTTTCTTCAAAAACAGTCAATGATCTAACGGAAAGTATTATTCACTCTCATCGACGATCCATTCATGTACGAAGATTTACCTCTGTTCATTAAGTAAATGGCGAGGACAGTAATTGTGAGTAAATTCAAATTTTTTTATTTTTAAGTTGTGAGAGTTTGCTCGTTTGTTTGCTGCAATGGCGTGTGTAAATCTGGTCTTTCCTCCACCAAAACTAAATTCGAATGGCACACTTCAACGAGACTCAAGGGGATTTAATGCAGCCTTTTCTCAATAAATTCCTTCAGTTTCTGTTGTGAAATTTACGGTACAATTGTCCAAATTGAACGGACTTGGAAAGACTCACCGAGAGAGTATATTTGTTGTAGAACTGAAATTAAAACTTCGCACGCTCTTTCACTAAGAACAAATTATTTAAGAAAATTCAGATACTAAATGAATGAAAGTTCCATCGTTCAGTTTAACTGTAACCAAATACCTCACGTTTTTACTTTCTAGGTATTTTTTGTGAACGATTAAAATTAATTGCAGACGGTTTTTAGGCCGCTTGTCAACCAACGTAATGACGCTGTTGCTGATACAAATTCATCTGAAACCAATATTTTTCTGTCAACCACGACCCACTTTTTCAACTAAACAATGGATCTGGGTTTATATGCTTCCGCACAATGGTGTTTGCTGAGAAGAACTGAACCATCACTTCCTCTGTCAGTTTCAGTACCAGTTGACTTCGCGATTCGTTGATCCTTTGCGGGCATTTTGTTGATGCATTGCGAGCTGCATTCAAAACAAATCGAGGCTTTTTTCGCTTATCGATCATGCGTCATTTCTCATTTCTACCCATACCTCGAGGCCTAAAGAGAGCCTCTCCGGATTCTGGCTTAGGGGGCAATAACATTAATTGACCACTCCCCCGATGGGGCTTTTCAGGGCCAATATAAACTAAATAAACATTGGGTGTATTGAAATATTGTATGTGAACATAGCTTTGAAACTGGCCGGAAGCAAACCAGTCGGTTATATACAAATTTTAGCCAAGGGGTTTGAGCCCTGAGAGACCGAGAACAATTCAAACGAGTAAGAGAGTGAACAACTTGAACCCAGGACCACCAGATTACGAGTCCAGCACCGCAACTACTTGGCCACACAGCTTCCATTGCCTTCATATTCTTTCATTTAGCAATTCGAGGAAAGGACTCTGTTGTATTGCATTTGACTTCGATCTTCCTCTTATTTCGCGAAGGCCATTTACTGTCCGTCTACCAATTCACTTATCTCCACTGCCTGAGAGGCTGGAACAGGCTATAGATAAAGTGGAGTTTAACAAAACGAGATCCCACTAGAGTACATTATACTGTTGCCAACATCTCCACATTTTTAACATATCTATCTGTTGTTACTTCTACAGCTTTCAAAATATTCATGGTGTCCACAGTAACTTGGAGGTACCTTCCTTGGTCCATTGCAACAATCGTTTTTTTCTTTGTACTCCTTTCGCTTCGTGTATTTACTCCACCAAGGTCCAGGTATGTTCGATATAGAAATCCTTGATTGCAAAGTAGAAGCCGTGGCCTCAGTTATGATCCACTTATACCAAATTTAAGGAAAAAATGTAGTTGTGGTGAAACAGTATTTAAAGATATTCCTGATGCAGACAACATGGTATGAACGGGAAAATGTTCTTTCCTCATGCATCAAAATAATTACTTTGAGTTTCAAAGGATAGTAGTTGTTCCAATAAGTTCCTGATGCATACGACATGGTATCAACGAGAAAATATTCTTTCTGCGTGAATCAAAACAGTTACTTTTAGCTTCAAAGCATAGTGAATGCTTCAATAATATTGTCAAAAAATTCCTCACGGGGATCAAGAACTGCTCGTGAAAAGAGTTCCTCCTCTCGATGCTCTCGTCGTCAACGATTATAGTCTATGAGGAATTCTTATCTGTAAGAACCAAATCATTTGAATAATTCGTGGCAGCCAAGTTCTAGTCCAAGTGTTTCAGCCAAATTCCTACTGAGAATTTTTTTATGATAGCAATGCTCAAATGCCCACACCTCGTTATTTCCACTATACCACGACTAGAAGATAATTTATGGAACAGAAACGTGTTAAATCTTCAGATATTTACAACCTCCATTTAAAGCGATGACAGACCAGGAGAAAACTGAGACATGTGACTGTAGAAACATAATCAAGGAAAGAGAGAATACAACAAAGGAGAGAAATGATGCAACCAAGGTACGTGAAGATACTAAGGCAGATGTAAAGACAACTGAATCAACTTGGCTCAGGGAATCTTTTGGAAAGGAACTTCACGAAATCCACTCCCAACTAAAATACCTCTTAGATCATAAAAGTATACCCTCACCGGATTTTGTTAACAAGGTTGGAGACCTTGCCAAACGCCTTGACGGCAAATCAGAACCACCAACTCCAAATAATGGCATGAAAAATAACAGTTTGAATGTGTGTCCGGAAGAATACAAAGGCAGCAAATTTGGTTACCCATTTTATTCTACAGGTTGGGTCCTTACTAACTGTATCAATGTCAAACCACTTAGCTCCGTCATAAGTGTTTTAATAAACACTGTCGCATATCCAAAAGAAGATGAGAAACACATTCGTAATGTAATAAAGGGTATCAATGATACCTATCCAATAGTTCAAGTTTACGTAGCAACGCGCAGTGACGATATCATAGAAATGGCCAAAGAGTACGAAAACATTGACGTGGTTAAAGTCGATGATACAAATGCAGCAAAAGTGTGGAACATGCTTAAAGCTAAAGCCTCCACACCTTATGTGCTGGTCGCACGTGATGTGGTTCACTTCTCATGGTTCACTCAAATAGAAAGACAAATTCGTGTGGTCAGTCAGATACCAAATGTAAAAGTTGCCGGGGGAGCATTTCGGAATATTTCTGGTCACTGGAAAGCAGGATGTGTGCAAACCAAACTACTAAACTACGTGCTAGAATATCAAGAAGGCTACTTTCACTCACAAAATGCATGCATGTTTTGTGATTTTCTGCAAGGACCTTTTCTGACTAAAACAGACTTGTTTAAGCTGGACGAAAGTCTTCCAAACGAAGTAGTATTTGAAGACTGGTTCTTGCGCATTAGAAAGGATGGCCACCAAGTGATGACATGCCCTGACGCTATGTATTTCACTTTGGATTACTTTTCGTATACCAAGAGCACTAAAAAAGATGTCTGGACACCTTTGGCAAAAAAGTGGGGGATTAATCGCGTACTTTTGCCCCAGGGGATCAAATTTTCATTCTCTTGTGACGATATTGGCGTCTCGTGCAAGGCAACTCACGAATTACTCCCAATTTGTTGCCTGGAAGAGTACGCACATCTCTTGACAGTCCTTCAGAAGTTCTGTGATGAAAGAAATATTTCATTTGAACTCGATTCTGGTTCTATTCTTGGTGGTGTTAAGTTCGATGGTCTTTTACCGTATGATGCCGACGGAGATCTCATCATGATGTCAACACAAATAGAAATATTTAGCAAAGATGAGACAAAACAATATTTTCGGAATAAAGGTATCTCCGTCTACGGGTATAAACCGCCAATATTTAACGAGAAAATGGGAAAATTAGTTAATGGTTTCACGTACATGGGTTTCCGTGGCTTTTACATCGAAGTTTGGGGGATGTGGAACACGACAAATTGGCTGCATCTTCCACCAGAGCTACGAAACTTTGCATCGTTCACCAAAGCGAATATAAGAGGTAACTGGATTAACACGGCATGCAATCCTGCTTTGTATGTGAGGGGTCGTTATGGAAGAGAAATTTTGAAACATGCTCAGTCCTGGATAAAACAAGGACTGGGAAGTGGTTGGGGGGAATACAAAGCTGGCACCTTCAAGCCGTGTAATAAACCAAAGCATCATTCATGCTTAGATAATTTGCCAGCCGATGGTAATATTCCGTTCTTTGTGGATTAATTGAGCTTGCCTCATGAAACTTGTTATCACAGATGCGAGAATCAAAACATCTGCCCGTGAGCTTTGGCTGTGTGTTGAGGCCAATGAAGAAGGAAACGTAAAGATAGCTTATCAAAAGAGATTAAAAAGCCGACTTGTGGATCGTTTTCACATGACCTCACGACGAGTCATTGGTTCATGGCAAAGTCTGGTTACAAGGTTTGACCGTAAAATAACGTTGTTGTCACTGGCAACCTTCCTCTTTTCGAATGGTTACCAAATCTCAAGAGCCGAGCGTCACCAACCGTCAAACACGAAAGCCCGCCAAAAGAAGTCAAACGACACGTTGCCACTCGAAACGGGGCCAGTTGCCCGTGACAACAACACGATTTCAACGTCAAAATGTGATCGCCAAACTTCCGTTGCGCCTCACGCAATTGTAAAATCGTAGTACCTTTCTTAGGGCAAAGGAAGATTGTGTGTTATCGACTTTACTAGTCATATGAAAACGATTTCTTCTCGTCTCACCACATTCTTACTAAATGAAAGACATACTAGGACTAAAGAACACGATATCATGATCAATTTTTTCTTCCAAATAATTTTTAGAGCGGACAAATGATAATCCGATTAGTTAGATAAATGAATGTTCACTTACTGTGTTGTCTCAACTGATTAGGAGAGTTTTGGGACGTTAGGTTCCTAATCCCATTCCTTCTTCACTGTCACTTCGGAGCCGATCACTTGCCGTTTCAATTAGGGATCTTAAGATCCGACAACGGAGGTGTTTTTCAATCATGAAATATGGACGAACGAAAGTACCTTAATAGTTCTTTTCAAATTTTTTAACCATGAGCTGGGAGCATACGCCACCAGTTTATAAAATACCTAACCTAAACAAAAATAAACATTTTTCAACTTAGAAGCACCCCTATGGAAACTTTTGACAAATTAGGATAAATGTACCTTCAGATTTCTGTTTTTTTTTTCATCTATCGCTATTTCTCAACCGAGCTCAAAATTACCATCTCAGACAGTAATATTAAACCACGTTTAGTTAAACCAATTAAAAATTACAACAGCTTTACTGTCTACGCAATAATTATAGTCGGACCTGTATTGAGCGGCGCCGTATTAATGCCTGGTTCACACGTGCGATGCAAATGCTCACAAGTCCAACGCAAACGCAAGGAAAGCAAGATACAGGCGCAGTGGGAGTATTTTCGAGGGTATCTAATCCCGTATCCCGCTGCTATTTTTCATTCCATCCCGCCGCAATGAACATTTTCATTCCCATCCCGCCTGGTTAAACTCAAGTTGCTCTAGTTCAACGCCTTACTTAATGTTTCGTTTAATAAATAGGCGTTGCCTCGTGTTGACAGATTTATTCGATGACAAGAATCGTGATTGACATTAATTCAATAGATTGATTTAAAAGCGTTAGATTATTATGTTTTAAGTCAATTTTTCAGGAGAATCGAAGTGAGAAAGAAGTTATTTTGTTATCGTTTTTCTGTCTCTAAATCCGCTTACCTGGAGAATCTGCTAACCCGTAAAGTGAGACTGTTGTAACGACCCGCCACAGAAGTAAGTTTATATTGAAGTTTTTTAATTTAGTTACAAGATAAAGACTTGATTTGCGTTTGTTCTAATTGCGAATTATAAATGTATTTCTTTTAGATCGAATAATTATTAAAGCTTAGCTTAATATTATACGGTTTGTGGTGGTCATTTGATCTAACCAGTTCCGAGTAAGGAAACACTTAAAGAGGGGGGCATTGAGGCTCATTAGAAACCGCAAAACCGTAGAAAAAATCATCCAAAACCGAAAAACCAAAAAAAAATTTGATTAAAACCGGAAACCGCATGCAAAACTGTCAAAACCGATACATTTTCAGATCCCAGTTATTAAAATCCTAATCGATCCGGTATAGTGGTGACAAGTGGAGCATAGGGGGGGTTGTGGAATTTAACAAATTTGCACCAAACCCCACCAGAGCTACGAAACCTTGCATCGTTCACCAAAGCAAACATAAGAGGTAGATGGATTAACACGGTGGCCAGTCCTGGTTGGTACGCGAGAGGTCGCTATGGAAGAGAAGTTCTTAAACATTCCCAGTCCTGGATAAAACTAGGACTTAAATCCAGTTGGGTGGAATACAAACCTGGCACCTTCAAGCCGTGTAATAAACCAAAGCATCATTCATGTTTGGACAATATGCCCGGCGATGGTAATATTCCTTACTTTTCATATTAATTGAGCTTGTCTCATGAAACTTGTCATCACGGCAGCATATCGGTTGCTAAGACAATATATCAGCGGCCGTGTTGGAGTCTACGGGCCGCTTATTTACATGAGGTCAAACCCAAACCGCGATTTTACGCAAGCAGTGAGCCTCAGGGATTCTCTGCGAGAGAGTTTATTTAATTAAATAACTGTCTTTTCACTATGAGCTTTGGGCCCTCTTGACACTGTTCACAAAAATAAATGTCTAGATAAAAATTTCTGCTCAATTGAAGATGGCTTAAACGCTGTTTTGTAAAACAACAGCTAAATTTTGTTCTAATTTATCAGACTTACGGTTTTTCTAAACACTCCGTATCTTTAGAAACACTTTCGCTGTTTTTTTTCTCTGAATGTTTTCATTTTATCGTTTCTCTCGTTTCTCTCGGGTGTTAACCCTCAGACGCACTTCAACTGTTCAAATCTTACGGAGAACCGTCAGCTACACCAGGTACTCCCACATTGTGCTAAAGACCACCTTAAGATCATTCAGGTATCCCATGAATCTAAGCGCATAAGTTTGTTTTATTGGTGTCGAGTTTCAGACACAATCAAGCGCAAGGCGATAAAAAATACCATGAGATACGTCATGAGTCATCCGCCTCATCAGTTAAGAGGCCATTAGCAATGGAGGGGGGTCCTCAAGTACCCCATTACCGTATGATTTTTTACCTGGTTTACAGACTAGGGGTGTGAAAAAACGATAGAGAAGTTAAGGAAAAAAGTTTCTGACTTTGGCAACGGACCGCTTAATATAGAGTGACCGCTCAATATGGCGCCGCTTAATTCGACTGTATCCACCACTTTCACCGACACTGAGGTGAATAATTGTTTTAGCACGTAGCACAAAAAACCGAAAAAGAAAGTTTATTTTTTCAATACACAAAAAATGTTCCGAAATTAATTTGCTGACGCGCGATTTTGTCTCTTCAGACGCCCCGAGGTGTACATTCTAATCACTTCCGAACCAGCCAATCTGCGCGCGCGAAAGGCATTATTCACCTGTGTGATACATACTAAAATTAATTAGTCATACTGTTGACGGGTTGCAGATGTAGGCTCTCGAGGTTGTTTGTTTACGATCGTTCGAACGTGTTTTACATGACTGTTTGCTTAGTTCACTGGCACTCATCTTGCTCCGAAGAGGACGTGATTCCGTGCTCTAGCACTCGCAATTTGAATCAGGGTTTTTAAGTAGAACTTTTAGTCCAACTCCTTCCATACGAAATCCTCTAACCAATCATGCTGGTTGCTTCTCCAACCGAACTCGAAAATCAAAACTGGTTCCCAGATGCGCTTTCCGTTTTATCAAACGCCATTTTGAATTCTTACACAGATTACTGACTGTACACTTAATTTGTGCCAAATCTTTTACCAGACTGC